CAACGCTGGGCCGAGATGGGCGCCCAGACCTGGCCCGATGTTATCATTCCAGGTTTCAACCAAGTCCGGCGCGGTCCCGGTTGAGGAACGGGTCCCGAAGTTCGGCAGGCCGGCCACCGGGCTTGGGCCAAGCTCGGCCCATTCGTTTTTTCGTACGTGGGATATGCAGGAAAACATGAGGGAAATATTCGATTAATTTTGTAGGTCGAGTGGTATTCGACGGATTATTTTTGGTAATCGGATCCTTCCCAAACCGACTCATTTTGACTTTCTTCCTGATTTTCTTTCACTTCACAGGATAATATTTGACAGTTATTTGGTTAGAGAAACAATTGCAGAGCTAGAAGGAAATTATCAAAAGCTAGAGGGAAATTATCAAAAGCTAGGGGGAAATAACCGCTGTAATTTTAATTGGGAAGTACTTCATGTTATTGAGTACTGAACTCTGATTAGCCCAGGGAAGGGCAGATCCGATTACTAAAAATAATCAGGTGAATACCGTGTTGACTATATAAAATAACAGTCGAATAGTGCAATTCTATTGGCTGATATTTAGATGGGAACAATTCTCGGTAAAAAATCAACACCCTCCTCCCACCCATCCCTCCTCCACCAATCCACCTTACTATCCCATTTTGCCCGACTGTCAGATTCATCCTCGAATTTCGTTGGACCCCGCTGTCCAACGAACCCGTTGCCCGATTCTTCATCCTCCCATTTTACCCCATTGCCCATTCAATTCCAGTTTCCCTCCCCTCTCCCTCCTGCACTCGTGGTATCCTGTATTACACTCAATGTTCACTCCACTCCATTTATCTCTCTTCCCCCTTTTCTCAAATGCCCTCATCAACCCGAAAATAATTAATTGTTGCACAATTAGCTGCACAGCTCAGAAGCATACCGGGATATCCTGAGATCACTAAGCTAAGCAGTAGCGAGTCGGAACACTACAAGGATGGGTGACAGATATCTTGAAAAGCAATGGACCGATCCGTTCTTTTCTTTTATTTCCCATTTTTTTTCTACTAAGTTGATGATGTCACTATTTTCCTTTTTTTCCCACGATTAATTTATGCCAGGTTTAAAAAATTAATCGATATGAAAATTTAATACCAAGCTTGGATTTATTGACTATCCGTTATTGGCCCAAGCTAGATGAATGGCTTGGACCAATCTAAATCACCAGGCTTGGATCAAGCTTGGACTAGTGTTACAAATCAAGGATTAGCCAAGGTTGGTTCAACCTTGGAATACGAGCTTGAGCCAAGCTAGGCTAGTCTTGGTTCAAGCTTGAACCAATGGTCAATTCCCACCTGGGTTACACTTTTTATTGAATTTTACTTCGCTCGCGGATTACGTTTCGAAACGTAATTTTTACTTTTTTTTCTGGTAATTTTTTTTATTGAATTTTTTTCTCCGTGCACCCGAAATCCTCATAAAATCCCGCTGTTTCACCAACATGGCGCATTATCCAATTCTCCACCTCACCTGAAATAAATTCGTTAGATGGTCAATGTTGCAACAGTTTCCATCAATATTGTTGAACAAACTGGAACAACAGGAACCCTATGGCGAGGTAATACGTACCTAAGGTGAATACATTGTGAAAATCACGATCTTGAGCAATATTTCATTCAATCTCTCTCAAACAGCTAGTTGTTACTCGTAACAATTTCATAACTTGTTATTGAAACTTCTGGATTTCCGTTTGCATTGTTCATTACAACAATGAATTGAAAAAATTGGTATTTGGATAATTGCATCACTTGTCTCCTCAATCACTATCCACCGTAGTTATATATAATGTAATCAATAATCACGTAACGGATAGTATGAAGTTTGTTTGCGCACACCTTTGGAAAATGTATCATAATAATTACATGTGACAATCAACTGTCCTGGCCGACTACTTTCACTGTGAAAGGTTCAAGCTATCTAATGTCTTGCCTGTCAGTGATAATTAGTGCTTGAAATCGAGGCACTGATTTCAATCCTAGTGCGCTTGTAATCCTTTCTCTCAAATAGTGAAGTAATTACATACTCTTGAAATAAGGTGATAATGGAAATACTTTTCTTTTATTCGTATGTCAGGACATAGAAATGGGTCGATGATGTAAGTGTAGGTTGAGCGGAGGACAGAGATTTATTGAAGTAAAGATGTTTATTGCGGAGTTTCCAGTGAATATCGATAATATTCGTAAGTAATAGAGAGAAATTATTTTTTCAATATGGAATAATTTACATACAAATTAGAGAAATTTCAAGTGATTAATTGCCGGAAATTGGGGAGAGACGTTGGGTATTATCGATGTATCACCCGGGGCTTAGGATGAATTAAAGATCAGGAAAATAAATTGTGAAATTGCGCGTGTGAGTACGAAATTATTAACTTCCTGATTTTCTACTTTAATGACGTGAGAAAAATTTCCAAAAATTCGGAGATCTTCCAGAATATTCCAATGGGTATGAAATGAATATGGAAATCATTGGAATCAATAAATTTCATATTCAATTTCGGGTATTTCCTCTTCCTATTCATCTAATATTTAATCGAAACGAAATATTTTCGTTTCAAGGGATAAAGAGAGGTTTGTGTAGAAACACAGAAAAAATTGTATATTGTGAATCAGGGGTGGAAAGTCAAAACTTTCCGCCCGAGGCAGTAACTTCCCACCCTAGGGGGGAAAGTGCTCACTTTCTTTCGCTCATCAGGTAACAAAGTATGAACTTTCTGTGCAGGGGTGTGAAAAATTTTTTTCGTCACGGCGTAGGCGGAAAGACAGATTTTCCTCCAGCGAAGCGTTAGGAAATAACGTTCTCACCACGGGAGGTAAAATAAAGGACCCTTACCCACGTACTTACCGTAATTCTACATGTGGGCACGACTCCTTTATTTTCCCTTCCTTGGTGGGAAATATATATTTTACACAGTCGCCGGAAAGGTCGT